CAAGGGGCTGGACGGGCGCTCCGTCTGCATTGGCCGCACACCGCGCGCGCTCCTCGTGCTCATGGGTCGGCGCGGCGTGCACGGGGGCATGCTCAACAAGAAGATGCACAAGCTGATCCGCGGGCTGTGCTTACAGGGCATATAGCATGACAGACAGGCCACCCACAGTGACAGCGGGACCAGAATAAACTGTGAACTGGGCGTCGTGGGCTCATCCTCTGGTTGTGCGTGGGGAGTTGGCAAATCAGGAAACTGGTTTATGGGAAGATCCTTGCAGGACAGTGTTTCTGGTGTGCTGGGTTCTAAATCTAGTCTGCTCAGCAATCTCCTATGTATGCCTTGCAGAGAGGCCTCTGGTCAAGTTCTGCTTCTTAGCGCTTTCCTGGGATCCTAGGGGAACCCTCCCCACCAGCTAAGGAAGAATCAAAAGGTGGGATCCTTGTCAAACTCCACCGCAGACCTTAGCTATCTCTTACAGAAATCTCCACGCACCTAGGCGGGACAGTGAAAAGAGTCCCCTCCCATCCTGCCAGCGCTTTTCTCCCCAGGCACAAAACCAACTAAGGTGGTGGAGTCAGGGTTTCAAGCCTGAGGTCAGTGTACGGTCTTCCCTCAGTAGCCTTGCGGATTGCTTCCAGGACACTCAGGACACTAAAATCCCTGCATAAAAAGCATAGTATTTTTTGTATTTTAAGTCATCTCTTCTGCCATTGGTGGAATCAGCAGGTGTAAAATCCTTGGATACAGAGAGCTGGCTGTACTCCTGCCCCGTCCACTTGGTGGAGCGCTGGTATGGGCTGTGAATAGTGGGATCAGTTGCTTAGGGAGCAGTTCTGGGGGCTCCCAGGCACCTGCATCTTCTCCCACATGCCTCAAAGGAGGGCCTCCTGAGGGAGCATGTCCAAAAGCATCGAAACTGCCTCTGGGGTCCTACAGTCTTCCTCCTTCTTGGGGCTCAAAGGCCCCAGAGGAGTCCTTGGACAGGAGGGACAAACTTTGGCATCCCTACCCCTTAAGCCTCACTCTTCAGGCCTCAGTTCCAGAGCATTCTGTGAAAAGGAAGAACTGAAAAGCGTGGATAGGTTTAAGTGAGGCCTGGGTGATTGCTCAATGAGAACAAAGGTGGGAGGCAAGGTGTTTGGTCTCTGCCTCTCTTGCTTGCCCCCACCTTCCTTGTCTCCTTCCTCCAGTGTACTTGACAAGGCCCCACGGGTTACTCATTCTAGAGCACTGACTTAGCCCAGTCAGCAGGAGTGAGTGTGTGGCTGAGGCAGGTGGGTTCAGAGGAGGCACAGTCTGGTGGGGGGGTCAGGGCATGGATGGACAGAGAGCCCTACTTACCCTTGCCTTGTGGGGGGCCCCAGGCCCTAGGATAGGCTTCCAGGGAGTTTAAACTGTGGACCCAGCTCATGAAGGTGGGGCCAGGCAAAGTGTTGGGGTGAGTTCAAAGGGCTGCTGTTGCAGTGAGTGTTTGAGGGGAGATGGTGCTGCTGAGCCCCATGCTTTGATTTTATCTTCCCTTCCACAGACTCCAAGGAAAAAGACTTCCAAATGCATAAGGGCTTAAAATGCCTTTCTTTTTTTCATTGTGCAGGGTTGGGAAAGGGTTGCAGTGGTGGCACTGAGCCCTGAATAAGGATGAGAATGCATCACGGAGAAAGGAAGGTGGCAGGTAAGGATATAACTCCATCAGTGACTCTGGCACCCGTATCTGTGCACAAGCAGACAGCTATGCAGTCACCTAGATATAGCCACCCTGCCCATCACAGTCTTGTGCGCATAAGGACATAAATGTAAGCCTCTGTACACATTTGCGAAGGACCTGAAGTCGTACCCAGTCACTCTGCTACCTGTACACAGCCTCCCACACATTTGTACACATGCATGGTCTGATACACATGTGCACACAAACACTGGCTTCTATGCCTACACCGATAGACACATACACCCACCCCTAGACGTGCACACATGCATACTGCCTCTGAGTCACACAAGCCCATACCTCTATGATTCTGCATAAGGATAGATACCCAAGAGTGACACAGACACATGCATGTCCAGGGTGGCACGCACTCACATGCACACAGAAACACACATACACACACACACACACACTGCTCTCCCTAGGCTCTGTGCACTGCCTTTCCATCTCCAAGCAGTTGTCAGGGCCTGCAGTCTAGAGGCGGGTGGCATTGTGGTGAGCAGGTAGTGCAAGGCGAGGAGATGGTGTGGCAGGGGGCAGCTCCTCCAGAAAGACCCTTGCAGGCAACTGGGGTGACCGGGGCTCGGGCCTGGCATAGCATAAGGTGGCACGGGTGATGAGGCGGTCCAGGGGCTTCAGAGAATGCATCCAGTGGGGCAGAAATTCCCATGTCTGCAGCCACTTGGGCAGGCGTCCAGGACTTCGATTCTGTAGGACATTGACTAACAGCACGAAAGCCAGCAGGGCCCCAAAGGGTGCACCCACACCTACCATGGCCTGCCAGCCTGCCATGGAGATGCCAAACACCAGCGAGGGTAGTAGCAGAAAGCATACAAGGAGGTAGAGGACAGCAAACCAGCGGTACTTTGCCGTGCGTTTGCCCAGAGCCTTGGCCATGCGGATGGGCAGGCGCATGCAGGGCAGTGGGTACCACAACAGGATGCCAGAGATGTTGAAGAAGAAGTGGCAGAGGGCAATCTGTGGGGGAGGGAGCAGAGGGGCCAAAGTGGGGAGAGGCTGCCATGTCAGGTCAGCAGGAGAGGTAATAGGTGTCTGATCTTGCCTAGGCAGTTGGGAAGTCACTACTTAGGGCTGATGAGTCCCCAGACCACCCCAGCACAGCTGTACTGGTTATTAAAATATTGAGATACCTCTGGGTCACTTGGTAAATAACCACTGCCCTCAACTCTTCACATTTCCTGTACTGATCCTCTGTCAGTTCTCCAGCAGATACTGCCAAAATCCAGCAGCTGAGACTAATGCTAGTTTCTCCTTTACCTGCTCTGGGGCTCTTAATTGGTTAGTATTGTATCTTGTCAGTGGCTCCTTTGTTTCTAGAACAATTCCCCCTTTGTCATCTGCCCCTCATCCCCAACTCTACTCATTCTTGATCCCTCAGATTGGTCCGGGCTCCCAACCTCACCCCACTTGCTACTGTTCTTTATTGACATGGATATTGAGCAGTGTACGCCTACAAGACACTGGGGTCTTGGTGTTGGAATCAAGTCAATTTTGCCCATAATAGTTTCTACCACGTCCATAGTAGGTGGTCTTAGTAGGAATCCAAGCTATTTGTTACATATTATCACACAGTCAAGCCCTGTGCTCCAGCCCCAGTGCCCAATCCTAGTCCCCTCCTGCTGAGACAGGACTCTTCTCCCTGACGCACCTGGAAGGAGCTGGACAGCTTCTCCTTGGGGCTGGCCAGTGCAGCCAGGATGGCCGTAGTGGTGGTACCAATATTGGAGCCCAGTGTGAGAGGGTAGGCTCTCTCAATGCTGATCACACCCAGGCCTGGTGGGCAAGGGAGAAGATATGGTCCTTCCCAAGTTCCTCCTTCCCCTGCCCCCGAAACCCCACCTCTGTTTGGCACTTACCAATGAGTGGGGTGATGGCTGAGGTGAACACAGAACTGCTCTGGACAATGAAAGTCATTCCAGCGCCCACCACCATGGCAAAGTAGCCTGTGACCCAGGTGAAGGGAGCAGGAAGGTCTGCAAAGAAACCCGAGTCCCAGCAGGCTGGGTCAGTGGGAGGGCATTTGGAGAGCAGGCACCTTCTTGGGAGCAGATTTTTTAAAAAATAAAAATAAAAAGTATATGTTTATTTAGGTCACAGTTCTGGAGGCTGAGGAGTCCAGGAGCATGGCACTGGTGTCTGGTAAAGGCCTTCTTAGTGTACCATTGAGGAGGAGGTCTTTGGAAACCAGGGTCTTGCTAGGACCTAGCCAGTCTCTTGCTCAACTGTGACTGCTTCCATTTGTTCTTTGATCTTGGATTAAAGAGCTTTCTTCCTTGGTGTCATCATGCTACCTACCATTCCTTTGCCTTGCCTGTTCTCTTTGCCCAGATTATCCTACTCAGCATCTAATACAGTTTCCCTCAGCATCCTCAGGAGATGCCTGAGTGCTCCAAAGTCTGTGGATGTAGTATTTGGATACAACGTAAGCACATCCTTCTGTGTGCTTTAACTCATCTCTAGATTTCTTCGAATACCCAAAATGATGCAAAGGCAATATAGATAGTTGTTATGCTGCATTTTTAAGGAAATAATGACAAGGAAAAAAGTTTGCATAGTTCAGGAAAGACATAATTTTTTCCAAGTATTTGTGAGCCCTGGTTGATTGAACCTGCAGATTCTGACCCTGTCCATACAGGAGAATGGTGCATGTATCCCCAGACTCAGTGCAGAAAGCACTTCCTTACTGGAAAGTCTTCCATGCCTCTCTGTCCATGCCTCTCTGATTCTTCCTTCCATGAGCACCCACAGCCCCATGAATGCCACTTATTCCTGCATTTATCAGACAGCCTTGTCCAAAACCAGGCAGTATCCTAAAAGCTCAAAGTGAAGTTTAAAATGAAAATCAGCTGGTGTCACTTCCCCTCTCTGTCTCTTTGTCCTGCCAGTTCTCCCTCTGCCTTTCTTAAAGTCCAGTCTCTGAGCTGACCCCAGAGGCCCTGTGATCTAACTCCATCCCCGTCACCTCCCTGGTCGTACCCTGGCTCTCTGCTTTAGCTATCTGTGCTCCCATCACACTATGGTCACCCTTCTGTGCCACAGACCTGCCAAATTGTTTCTTGCATGCTAGTCTTTGCACTTGCTGTTTCCACAATGCCAAATGCTGTTACCCACAGCTTCTCTTTGTTTGCAATGAGAATGGAACTCAGGGTCTTGTGTATGCTAGGCAAGCACTCTGCCAGTTATTGTGCTTTTTGTCCAAATTTATCCTCATTTACTTTTCATTGTCTCCCCTTGTTGGATTGTGAACTTCCTTAATTAGGATCATTTCTATTTGCCTCATTCCATATCTCTTGGCACACAGTAGTCTCTTAATGTCTATTTGTGCATTTAACCAATGGTCTCTGAGAATCTCCACCTTCTAGACTGAAATCATAGCCAGAGGCAGCCCCAGTTCCCCAGCTGTCAGCACCTGAGGAGGATGTGAATTAGTCCAATCCCTTTTGTGTTCACTGGGGAAACTGAAGCTCGTAGGTGGTAGGGCTTTACCCACATCTAGGCAGTAGCAGGACCCAGCAGGACCAAAAGGTACTTTCTTGGGGCCTGTCTAGCCTTGTAGCTTTCCCACCCACTGCTCATGGTTTACCGGTGTTGATGACCTTCTGGATGACCTTGGCCACCTGGCCCTTGAGCAGTGAGTTGAGCATCTTGACAAGGAGGATGAGGCAGGTGCACAGGAGCATCAGGGAGCCAGCCAGCAGGATGAGTCCCACAGCAAGGTCAGGCAGCACCGTGTCAACAAAGATGTGGTTGCCTGTGGGCAGCATATTAAGCTGCTGAGAGCTCACCCCCATGCCCAGCTCCCCCTTGCCGCCTCTGGGACTGTGAGCCTAGGGCCCCACCTGGCTCCTTCAGCTTCCACGGCAGGCGGTCTTGTTGCTGCCTTTGCCATGGGGATCATCTTTCATGTTGCAGGTACTTACATTTTTCCATGGTGACATTTCCATGGGTCTGGCTGGCATTGGCCTCTGCCCTGGACATGGTAGAAGCCTAGATTAAGAGGAAGGTGACTTAGAGAATATAAGAAAATACAGCCTGAGACTGGGGTTAGGATGGGTAGTAGGGAGAGATGAGGAAGGTAGAGATGGGTCTCTTGACTCTGTGACTGTGGATAGGTCATTTGCCCTTTCTGGTCCTATTTGCTCTGGTGGAAAACAAAATGAAATATTTGCCACGCAAGAATTAGGCCACGGCAGGCCCTTTGCATGTCCACCCCATCACTCCATGGAATGGGTTCCACTGGAAACAGCATGACCCCTCTGATTCCCAAAACTAGTTGCTTCTTTGTTTTCTTTCACTTCTGAGTGACACCAGGATGCCACTGACCATAATCCTACTTTTCTGAGAACTCCCCCTTCCCTTCCTGGTCTTTTACTATTGATCCTTTTCTAGTGCTCCTCCTCCTTCTCCAGCATTCTGACCTTCTCCTTTCCCCTAAGGCTTTGGTAACCTAAACTCCTTTCTCTATTGCTCAGCTTCTTATCCTGAGGGGATCCTGTGGGGAGGGGACAGCTGGTGGGGCAAAGTGTGCAGCCCCCACCATTGCTTCCCTCCCCACCAACCGTTCTTGAAATGAGGGCTTTCTCACATCCCCAGATTCTAAACTAGGTCCCCAGCCTGCACGTGGATGGGTTGGAGAGAGTATGTACTGGGCCTATAGGGGCAGGAACAACTTAGGTCTAAGCCACAGTCACTATCCAGGGATGGCCCAGTGTGGCCCAATTGCCAAGTTCTAGAAAAGAAACCACAATTCTGAAGCTTTAGATAAAAATCTTACAATCTCCTTAAATGGTGGAGATATACATTACTATTCTAGGTAGCAGAATTCTAGGGCCAGTAGAAGTGGCCTTGTCTGGCTTGTGGACCACTAACATGTATCCTTGTTGGGTTAAGCAGTTATTATTTAAAATGCAAACTAGAGCTCCTCACCTTTCCCCCAGCAGTCCAGCAACTACACAAGAGTGACAGGAGAAAATAGGGTAGGTTTGGTTGGGGAGAAGCCATCTTACAAAGGAGGCTCAGAAACAAGCAGTAATTTCTAGAGCCACATATCAGCAAGGGCTACCAGGCTTACAGGCAGAATCCAAGAGCTACTATGTCTCCCTGCTGGCCTCATTCTGTCTCTCCTGGACCCCTTATATAGGTGCATTGCCCCAGTTTCCTGGATCCTCTGGTATCCCTCCACTCTCACCCCTGTGCTGAGGGTGGGGGCTTAGGTGGGATGAGGGGATATTTATACCCTCTTGAGGTTTTGTTCCAAACTGTGCCATTAACAGGCAGAATCCAAGAGCTACTATGTCTCCCTGCTGGCCTCATTCTGTCTCTCCTGGACCCCTTATATAGGTGCATTGCCCCAGTTTCCTGGATCCTCTGGTATCCCTCCACTCTCACCCCTGTGCTGAGGGTGGGGGCTTAGGTGGGATGAGGGGATATTTATACCCTCTTGAGGTTTTGTTCCAAACTGTGCCATTAAAAA